AATCCAAACCATCAATGAAATTGAACACAAACCTGAAAGACAATTCCCAAATGAGAAATATTGTGAGTAGAGATGAGTCCTAAAATCTCTGAATATCCAGCAGAACACCCTCAAGCCATGTCAACAGAGCTGCTTGCCATCAAGGCATCAGCAAACAGGAGACCAATAATCTGGTTCCCCAAATTCACTGGGGTATGAATGGCACTGGCCCACTCTATTCTGAATTCGAGAGTTTGATGTACCTTCAGCAAGGCCACAAAAAGAAAAATGGGCCTTCCTTATTGTAAGGACCAATAGGCATGAATCAGTGGATGTAAAGGAATCATTCTACTTATAGTCAAGTCACCCTTTTCTGAACAGGACTGTCACAGACTGAACATGTTCACCAAATCATTAGGGAAAAACAAAATTCAAGAAAACATAGGAACAGAAACAAACCATGTAGTCCCTTGAGGATGTCCCACCATTGAATGAGAACATTATGATTTTGTGACCTAAATCCCTTCAATGTTTGGTTAACAATTTTTCTTCACTACCAGTTTGAAAGTGACCAGCTATTCTGGTTTGAAATTGCCTTTACAGAGTAGAATTCCAAATACATACTACTACTGCTAATTTTACTTTTGAACAGACGGCTCAAATGTTTTGAACTCTGCAACCAATGCCCACCTCCAAATGCCTGATCCACCAACTGGCAGAACAGCTTATCTACCCTATTTTCTCCCTCAGGCTTTGCCTTTTTCAGGCAATCAAAATTATCCTTGAAACTTCAAAATTCCAGGGAGTAAAAACTTAGTTTGCGTAACTGCTCCTTGTAATTTAACATTTGGAACTCCTAGATTTCTGGTACAACCACACCTCACACCTGCCAAAGACTGTAAATCCTACCAACATGAGATGCCCAGAATATCTCAACACTCCAAGTGCTGGGTAACCAAGGCTTTGTTTCGCTGAAGTAGCATTTCTAACCCCTTATATTTTTTATTCTCCAGATCTAAAAGGAGAGCGTGTTACCTTTGCAATTTTGATTATTTTATGTACTTTGTAAAATTTTAATGAAGTTTGTTCTTTTTACTTGGTTACAAAATCTGTTTGGACCACTATTTTTGTGACATTTAGCATGTACCCCATTCCATCAGTGGATGACTGCACATTGAAAATCAATTTACCAGAGGAGTTTTACCCATTCACTTTAACAATCTTTAATTTTACATTTCCATCTACACCGCTTATAAATGTGGCCTATCATGGGTCACTACAAAATTTAATATAGCTTTGCATCCCATCTTTGAAGTTGCTATGGATATGGCAAATATTTCAGGCCCAAACACAGATTCTTGAAGGTCACATCCTGTCAAGAGTGGCAGGCCACTATCTCTGCTTCATTTCTTTCCACTCAGCCAATTTCCTAACTATGTCAATATACCGTGCTCAGTTTCATGGGCTTCAGCTTTAGCTAACGTCTGTTATGGGGGACTTTATAAATCAAACATCTTCTTGAGGTCTGTAGTAAATAACATGTGCAAACATTACTTTCGATGAAGTAATGAAAATCACTCACAGGGTAAGCAGTGATATCAGACATGCCCGCGTCTTTACAGGCGTATACCAATTCTTAGATCAACTGAAAACTTAAAAGGTGCTCATTCACACTCTGCTTAATTGTAGGCAAGTAATTTCCTGACAATAAACGTTAGGCCAGCAATTCAATCATTCCCCAAGTTTCCTCTGTGGAATTTTCAATAAACGCTTAAAGCACTCTTGGGTAAATGACCAAATTCACCAGTGCAAATGCAGTAACTTAACATCAAATTAAATTTTTTTGTGAAAAGAAAAACCCCAGATATGATTTCTGGCCTTACATTGGGTTCATTTTATCTGAGCAAAGTAGATTCATCCTATTTTTCAACACAGAATAATGGACAGTGACCCCCAGCCATTTGGAAATTGTGAATGTGCAGCGACTGCGTTGTTATGATGATTTAGCAGCCCAGGCTTGTGAAGCAAGAACAACATTTAGGGATGGTAGCAGAAGAATCAAAGAATCCCTACAGTGTGGAAACAGGCAATTCAGCCCAACAAGCTCACACCACCCTTCCTAGTAGGATCATTGGTATCATGTCACAGTAAGACTCATTGATTTAAACACAAACTGAAAAAAACCCTTATGATATGTTACTTCACTCTTTAGTACAGTTTCCAAGTTGACAGCCTGGCAGGAACTGTAAAAAGCCAACAAAGTAGATTCCCACTTTGATCTTTGGCCTTTGCTCTGTTAACTGAACCAAACCAGTACAATTCCAAATATTATAGCCAACATTATTTCCCCTAGGCTGAATTTGAACAGATTCCACATATTATCCAGTGATTCCAATTGGGATGACATTCTAGTCAGATCAGTCTTTGCTGTGCACTACCCATGAATCCAGGCTCATTCACAAAGAGTGGCCACTTGAGTGTAAATCCCGAATGCCCATGAAATCACAACTTAACAGGAGCCTGTAACTCCAAAAGGAAGGAGAAAGCCCTTGAAAAATACAACTCAAGTATTGGAGAAAAGTTAGTTGTGATAGACTATGCAGAATTCTGTGCTTTCCACCTGTTGACCATGTATACTGCCAGTGATGTGGGCTCTAGGAAAAAGAATCAAGAATGTAGAAGAATGATTGGAAGGTTAACAGATAAAAGAACCACACGATCTCAGCTTTTGCAATGATTTTGTCACTGCAGATCACTGGTCAGTGAAGAAAACATCAGAGGAATTTCAGCTGAAAGCCAGAAATATTAGTCTACCACGATAGCTGTGGTAAAGACAGAATGGATACAGAACAGACTAAATTCATCCCACAGCAGGTGCTCAGTTTGGAAGACAGGTCAGAATTCCTGCTTCTGATCTCCCTAATCTGCCCAAATTTGCCTTCAAGAGAGGAATGAATATGCCTTGCTCAAGGTACATGGCTGAATGGCCGTATGAAATACCAAAAAGCATCAGAAATATGGAACCATATTATGAGTTACTGCTTTGACAAAAGAAAAATTGCAAACAAACAGTCTTAACTGGTACCCTATGTAACAGCCATTCAAATTAATATTTGCATTCAGACAAGCAGCTTCTAAAATCACACCTTGTTCTTCAAATGAAATCTGGAGTAAAATCCAATGCATCACCGAGACACAGCACCTCAAATGATAAGCAGAATCAAACTTTAATGTTTCTTTCTGAAAGAGTTCTAGTTTTATTCTTTATCAATATCCAATAACAGTATAACTTGCCAAGGAAAATCCAACAGCACTCCTCTCCATTCATTTCAAATACCATTAAATACTCAGTTTCTTCAACTAAACTCAATTCTCTACTACTGCACCTCCCCAAAACCTCACTTCCTTCTTCAAGCATTCAATCATGCGTGCTAGCACAGCAGCTTGTCATTTAACAGAATGGCTTCAATATGCTGAAAAATTAAAACATAGTTGCTATTGGGCAATTTGAATCTTAAAAGGGAAGATGTCATACTTCAATGCACATTTGATAGATCCTTTTATGCTTCAAAACAAGCAAAACGATAATGCAAAGTCCAACTGACTTTGTAAATCATTCTGAATGCCAAAGAATAGTATATTTAAAAAAAGGTATTTCAACTAACGTTAAGATTCTTCAAATTACATACACGTTTCCATTTTTTGCATCCTGTATCATCCTTGATCACATTAGAACTGCAATCATTCCAAACTGAAAACTTTTAACTGGATCAATATCTTAAATCATCACACATTAGTACATTAATTTTAAGCCTCATACAGAAAGGATCTAGACTACATATCTGTAGATAAGTTGCAAGATGGAATATAATTGATCACAAAGCTATTTAAAAATACCCTCTCCCCACCAACCAACCCAGCAATGCCCCGTAAGTTTGAGTAGACTTTGGGAAAGACTAGTGCTTTTTTGGGGAAAGGAAACAAACTTAAAGGTATGGAACATTTCTGAAACAATGTCACCACTGCACAGAACAATCATGACAATGCTTACAATCTCTTGTTTGAAGACATGACAATCATTATCCCAGCACCGATTCTTTTTCAAAAGGTTAAGCAGATAACCCTTATTTTCCCTACTAAAAAAAAACATCTTCCAGAAGTATCGAAAACCTCAGCCTAGGTATAAACCTGAAAAAAAAGAAATTCAATGCAAATCGGGAAAGTCATTTTTTTTAACCTAGGGGCAGGCAAGAGAGGAAAAAAAACATGCAATGCAAACTTTAAAAAAAAAAGGAATCTTATAAAATATTGCTTTTTAAAAAATATATAAAAATACATCATAACCTTCACGGTGCTGCCGCCATGTGAGTGGAGGCATTGCTACTCCATCAACCCCCCCCCCATATCAAAATAAGGCATAAAATGCAAACTGCACTGAAAAAAACAAGTTGCAATTTCTGCCGCCATCCCTTTTGTGTGTCTTCTCCCCCCCGTCCAGATTCTAAACCTTTCTTCCTCGTTCCTCCTGCCTTCTTATTTAAATGCCCGGCACATTGCTGTCGGTGTGTTTTATATATTAAAAAAAGAGAGAAGGGAGCCTCGCTCTCTTAACAGCATGAACGAAGCAACCGACACACACACACACACACACACACAGAGTCAGAAAAAAATAAAATGGCGCAGAGACTAAGTCCTAACGGCCGAAAAGCCGGCTTTTCGCTCGCGATGCCGGCCCGGCCGAAACCCCCAACGGCCCTCGGGCAGCCTCACGCCAGACTCTGGGCATAGTGGCGGCGGTCGGCGGGGGAAAGGGCTCGCTGGGGAGCCGGCAAAGCGGTTATTTTGGAGGCTGATTTGAACAATAGGGCTTGTGGGCACGTAGACGGGACTTAGTCTCTGGACGCCATGTCTGATCCTCTTTTCTCTCTGAGGGAAGAACAACAGGAGAGGAGAGGGAAAGGTCGGGGAGGGAGTGGGTAACGAACAAATTAAATAAAGCAATTTTCACCTCAAATACTCACCGTTCAAGCGGGAATCCGTATTGAGCTGTGAACACAACAAGAAAAAAAAGGGGAAAATTCCACGTTAGTACTTTGCTTCCTTACAATCAAAAGGGCCATGAACCATCAAAGTAAGAGACAGATGAAAATTTTTCACAAGTTTCAAATCATCAAATATACGTTTTTTTTGGGGGAGGGGGAAATAAAAGACACGGGGTTTTATAAAACGCACGGTCTGGAAGGTCGTTCCACCTACCTGGGAGAGGTGATCAACGCTCATTTTTGGAGGATGTTTCTTTTCTGATTATTCTATAGGGTTTTTTTTGTGGAGTTAGTGAGGAGTTGAGTTCTATACACACCAAAGACCTGCCTCAGATTGAACTGCTCCAACCCCCTGTACAACGTCTAAGTCCCAGTTTCGACGTACTGCGCATGCACTTGGATTTAACTTAGAGGTGAATTTACATTTCAATTGCCTTGCCCTCACAATTGGTGGCTTCAGCTGCACCAAAGAGCTGATTTAAATAGCGCAGACACGCCTCCCTCTTTGCCCAAACTCTCCCCAACCCATCCAACTACCCCCCCTTATCAGCCCCCTGAGCACCCTCCCTGGGGGCATCAGACTCCTTCCTCCCAGGAAGAGAGGGGATAAACTTTTCTCTTGCTTTGTAGTTGTTGGAAAGTTAAGGCAATTCCTCTCAACAGAAGCTGAACAGACACACACACACCCTTCCTCTCCCACATCCACCCCCAATACAGACTTCACCCAAAGGACACACCTTCCCCCCCACCCCTTTCAAAAACTCAATGGACCATCAACTATAGTAAAGTTAGCGCAGCAACAACATTCATCAAGCCAAATGATGTCACAGTGGTTTCTGCTGATGTCAGGGCTTCACCATCAGAGCAGCAGGTCAAATTACTCCAGAGCTTTTGCAACAACTTATGTTATTTCATGTGGCACCTTTGAATTAGTAAATAGTCCAGAGGCACTTTGCAGGGGTGTTATCATGCAGAGGGAATGAATGCAAGCCAAACAACAGCGACTTGAGTTTCTGTGGCACCTTTGGCACGCATTCCAGAGCCTTATACAGCGATGTTTGCAAGCCAAGTTTGACACTATGCCACTTAATGTGGACAGCTGATCAAAAGTTTAGCCACATCCCAAGGTTTTAAGGAATGTCTTGCAAGAGGAGAGGAAGAGACAGATACCATTTGCGAGAGAATTCTAGACCTTCAGTCCTAGACAGCCAAACATATTGAATTAACTCCACAGAGGCCGGTATCCCATCACCAAGTTGCCCAATGGACCATCAACTATAGTATATTTAAATCAGCTCTTTGGTGCAGCTGAAGCCACCAATTGTGAGGGCAAGGCAATTGAAATGTAAATTCACCTCTAAGTTAAATCCAAGTGCATGCGCAGTATGTCGAAACTGGGACTTAGACGTTGTACAGGGGGTTGGAGCAGTTCAATCTGAGGCAGGTCTTTGGTGTGTATAGAACTCAACTCCTCACTAACTCCACAAAAAAAACCCTATAGAATAATCAGAAAAGAAACATCCTCCAACTATAGTAACTACATCACCTTTATTTACACATGCATGGTATTTCAAACTGGTCCGGATTCCTCAGAGCCAGCTGTCAGAGTGAACAGAACTTCTGATGCTCCTGTTTATAGCTGTCAGCCAGGGCTCCCTGATTGGAGCAGATTAAAAGCCCCATACAGGGAACTCATATTCTATGAAGTCCGCCTGGCAGACCTCATTTCAACATAACATCCAACTCCTATATAAAATCTAAGTCCGGGAACGGAGGCCCGCTCTTTTTCTTGTACCCTGCACTGGGGTGTTTTCCTACAGAGTCCAGTTCCTCTGACTCAGCATCAGATACGGGCGGTGTGCACCAGACCATAGCTCGCCTCTTGCACCCAGAGAGTCTCGGAAGAAATTCATCCTCTTCTTCAGATGGTAAAGGCATCGAGGCTGCAACATCCACCATGTCCATCTCAGACTCCAAGACTTCTTCAAGGCTAGACAGAGTGGGAGAACCCACAGGTTCAGACAGCCTTTCTGGCTGTTCTGAGGCGCTGGTTATTTTTTGCTGACTTATTTGTGAGTTTGTAGCTTTCATGATGACCACATGCTCGTTCAGGACCACCTCACCTACTTGAACTTGGTGCATCACGGGACCAGACCTTGCATTGACCATGCCTCTTACCCATGCAGGGTCATTTCTGTGGATCTTACATCGAACTTTATCCCCTGAAGTAAGCCGTCTCTTACTTAGAGGAGTCTTGTGTCCAGCACTGGCATCCCTAATGCCTTTTCTCCCATACCCCTGCCATGCCCCAGGTCTGGGAATATCAAGTTTAACCTGGTGTGGAGTTTTCTCCCTATTAGCAACTCTGCTGGAGCTATCCCTATAGTTGCATGAGGGATGTGGTCTGATAATCAAATAGGAACCAGAACAGTTTGGTATCGAGTGAAGATGTAAGCTGTTCCTTGAAGTCTGCCTTTAGAGTTTAGACTGCTCTTTCTGCCAGACCATTGGATGATGGATGGCATGGAGCTACTCTTATATGCCAAATGCCATTCGACTTTAGGAAGTACTTATAGAGTCATAGGGTCATACAACACAGAAACAGATCCTTCAATCCGACCAGTCTATGTCAATGATAATCCCAAACTAAACTAGTTCCACCTCCTTACACTTGTCCCATATTCCTCCAAACATTTCTTAATCATGTACTTATCAAAATGTCTTTTAAACCTTGTAACTGTACTCGTGCCCACTAGTTCCTCTGGAAGTCCATTGCACATAAGAAGTACTCCCTGTAAAAAAACTGCCCCTCATGTCTTTTTTTAAGTCTTTCTTCCCTCACTTTAAAAATATGGCCCCTGGTCTTGAGATCCCACGTCCTAGGGAAAAGACACCTGCCATTCGACTTATCTATACCCCTCATAATTTTATAAACCTCAATAAGGTTGCACTTCAATCTCATACACCCCAGTGAAAAAAGCCCCAGCTTATCCAACTTCTCCTCATAACTCAAACTTTCCATTCCCGGTAACCTTCTCGTAAATCTCTTCTTAACCCTCCCCTATTTAATAATATCCTTCCTGTAACAGGGTGACCAGAACTGGATACAGTACTCAAGAGGAAGCCTCACCAACATTCTGTACAACCTCAACATAACATCCAACTCTGTAATAATTTATGAATCTAAGCAAGGACCTAAGCTCCGGTACAGATGTGGGAGCCAGGGCACCTTTGATCACCCTCACTGTATCTTCCAAGGGTGTAACCCAGTTTTGTCAGTAGCCCAAGTAGGTCACTTAGAGTGCCTAGAACACACATTTTTTCCTTCTAAGGCATTTGGTCACCTGGGAGAAATTTGTAGGAATATGTCCAAATTCTTTTAAGTGCTCTTTATTGGTCTTCCCAGTTATTAGCGCATCATCCAGATAATTGGCGACTTGGGGTAGACCTTGTAAAATGTTTTCCATTATCCGCTGAAAAATAGCACAGGCTAATGGTACGCCAAATCTTGTATATTGGTACAAACCCTTATGGGTATTAATTGTAGCATATGTCTGGGAATTCTCATCTAACTGCAATTGCAGGTTCGCATAGTTCTTGCCCAGCTTTGTGAAGGACAGCTCCCAGCCAGCTTGGAATATAAGTCCTCTATGTGAGGGATTGGGTATTAATTCAGCTGCAAGAAGCAGTTTACTGTTTGTTTAAAATCCCCACAAGGTTCACTGATCCGTCGGGCTTCACAGTCGGTACGACCGGTGCTGCCCATTCTGCAAACTGTACTGGTTTGACGATTCCTTCATTTTCCAGCCTCATGATTTCTGCCTCTACTTTTGCCCGTAAGGCAATTGGCATTGGGCGTGCCTTGCAGAATCGTGGAATTGTTTCCTGGTCAAAATATAAGGTGGCCTTGGCTCCTTTGATAGTCTCTGGACCTCCCTGAAAAACTTCCGGGTATTTAATTAGGACTTCAATCAGGCTGCCATTTTCTAATCGAAAAATGTTGAGCCAATCAAGGTGAATCTTCCTTAACCAATTTCTCCCCATCAGGCTTCGGCCTGAGCCTTTTACTATAATCATTGTTAACTGAGCCAGTTGCTTCCCATACGAGACTGGAACCGAAATTGTGCCTTAATGTGTAAAGATTCCCTGGTATAGGTTCTCAGTCTAGTCGAGGTCTTACGCAAATTTAAGGGTTGGAGTCCAGAGAAAATTTTGTCAAAAACTAGTTCCGCAATCACTGATACAGCTGCACCGGTATGAACCTCCATTAAAACCGGTTGACTTCTTAACCAGACGTTTATTTTGATTGGTTCTGATTTGGATGTTGCTAAGCAATTTAACTGTTCCAAATCAGATGTAGGTGGACTTCCCAGGGTGTGCACATTCTTGGATATTGGTCGATGAGTTCTCTTACTCAATTCAGGCCTCATGACACTTCTTTCTGTGCTACTGTTCATATATATTCCTATGTAAAGTTCTTGGGAAGTGGAACCTGGTAAACTTACTGCACTGGGCAATGTGAATCAAAATAGCAAAAGCAACATGCTATCGGTTGGGCTAAATGATTCCCCAATCAATGGGTCAAATCAAAACATTTCAATTCTGCCAAATCGAATTAAGATTGGTGGTAGGAAATTAAACAACTACTTGGAGAAGAAGCCTCCATAAATATCTCTATCCTTAATAATCGGGGAGCACAGGTTCAAAGAGAAGGCTGAGGATTTTGCAACCATTTTCAGTCAGAAGTGCTAATGGGTTATCTATCTCGGATTCCTTTTGAGGTTTCCAAGATCATAAAAATCAACCTTCAGCCAATTTGTATCACGTCACATGGTATCAAGAAATAGCTGAACACACTGGACACAGCAATGTTGTGAATTCTAAAAAAAATCCTGCGTTTAGAACCGAAGACCTGTGCCCCAAAACTAGTTACAACCCTAACCAAGCTGTTCCAATACAACTACAACATCAGCACTTAGTCAGCAATGTGGAATATTGTCCAGTACATCCTGTTTTGTAAGATGATTCTGAAAAAGTTAATGTTGAAGCTGCAGCAAGCAGCATCCAATCCAGTGATGTCAAGCAGTCTTTAGGTGGAGAAGAACAGTCTAGGATGAGGTCCTGATGGAGATAGATGTGTCAACTCTGGCTCCTGATACTTTTTGTAATTATGCCTAACAGGGTAACATAACTTGGAACCTATTGCTCTCATGCAATAAACTACATCTTGACCTGTAAGACAAATTTCTTTTCTTATTAAGATTAAATAGTAGCTTGTTGTCTGCCGCTCAGGTAGGCCTTGTGGCATAGTGTTAATGTTCTGATGTCTGAGCTAGGAAAATTAGGTTCAAGTTCCAACCTACTCCAGAGATGTG